TAGATATTCCATAAATGGCTTTATTAGGTGAGGTAGGTCTTTCAAGAAATTACAAATACTATGTGTTTTAGAAGAAAATTACTGAGCTGGTAGTTGAAGGACTTTTTTACCAGGAAGACTTGAAAAGTGAAGACAAGTCTACTAACAGTGCAAAGGCTAAGATGCTTAATTAAAGCACATTAAACTTCTGTTTTGATGTTCTCACTCATCCTTGAACAATAATTAAGCTATAGCCATCTAAAATTGCTTTACTTCTGAATGAGAGTATTCACACAGGATCCAACACACTTCAATTATCCATATTTCTCCTCACAACTTTACCTGATTTTTCTGAGTGTTCCCAGGTAGACAGGGTTTGAAGACAATTATGCTATGCATCATGGCATGTAGCCATAAGAAATGTAGATTTCCTAAATATGCATAGCTTCTAAATTATCACCTCTAGTTTTGACCTGCAGGAGGGTTTCTTTACTTATTTGTATGCCTGCATACTCTTTTTAAGGATCTAAGCTAAAATTCTGATATATCAGAAACAAACACAAGGAGAAGGAAGAACAAGATAACAGTGTGAAAGGACAAGTATTTATAGGTGGGGTCTTTTTCACCAGAATTTCTGTGAACATATTTTAATGAGACCTTCCTTCTACTGTGACGACACAGCTCCAACGTCTTCCATTTTCTGTGCCAGGATATACCCTCCACTCCTCTGCAATGTTCATTTTCCCTTTTCCATATCATCCCCACTACATGAAATTTCACAAATGCAGGCAATTTTTATGTATTTAGCAATTATCTGAAACTATGTCATAATTAATTTAATTTTTTCAATTCTGAAAAGGTGAACTAAAAATTATAAATGTATTCTTCCAGGTACTTAGTCTATTTAATTGTAACTGAAAGCTAAAAATAAATAATGATAAGCAGAATAAAAAACACTGTTTTTTTAAAATGTCCATCAATGGAGTATTAAATCTAAAACTAATTATAGCCTATTACTGCTATTGTTGTTGTTATATTTTATTAAGATTGTAATTTTATTACTATTCTTTGATATATCCAGTAGTTAAGGGAGAAGGAGGGAAAGGTCTTTTCTCAGTGTATTTTTATTACATTTTCTCATCAGCTCAATACTGAAAATCAAGACTGCTCAGCATCCCATTTCCAAATCTGTATCAGAAAACCATTGCCAGAACTGCTGATCTATGATGTAGAAGAATTTTGGGGAAAAAGTGGCCAGTACCATCAAAAAAAAACCTAGATATTTGCTTAGTACTATGAGCACTGAATCTCACAGAATGGTCATTACAGTGTCATTTATTAGGGTTAAGATTTTTTAAAACATGAATTATTAATCAATTATGACATCTTCTGAAGTGCATCCATTGACTGATCATATTATGATAAGGAAAACCTTTATTTCCTATCTCTGACTTTTCCTCTTACTTAAAAACACACTTTGTCCAGGACCAAAACATACCATGCAGGAAGTAATTCCTCAAGTAGGTGACTGTCTTTCCTTTGTAAAATTACATAGACATTACACTTTATAAATAAGTGTTTAGCAGCTAACCACCACTTGTTTCCCAGTATTTCTGTGACAGGAAAATCTCGAGTGACTTATTGACTTATTTGTTTCTTGCATCATAATATCCTTTCCCTTTGAAGAATAATGTTGTAAAACTTAATTCTTAAAAAAAAAAAAAAAAGAAATATTTATCTAATGCTGTCATGTTACACCTCCTCCCTTTGTCAAGTACTGTGGAACCTATTTGTTGCCTTGTAACACCTCCAAGAAGTTGTAATACCTTCAAGAAGTTGATCATCATGAGTTGGTTCTAGCATTACTGGGTTAAAAAATCCTGAGCTATACATCACAGAAGTCTTATTTTTTCATTTAACCTCTTGCTTGGCTGTTTTAATCCCTCCTTCTTCAACATTAGGAAGATGTTGATAACTGCGCAGTCCAGTTATTAAACTCTGAGACACAGTGTGATATCTCACTAGTCAGCGAAAGGGCCATTTTAAACTCAGCAAGCATCTTAGATGCCTGCTAAACTTTCAAACTACCATTTTTCAACCTTTTCCTAAAAAATAACTTCAAGGAACCAAAAGGAATATGTTAATGTTTATATACTGTAACTACAAAGCAGTTTATTAAATATTTGCCTGGTTTGCCTTTTTCAAGGAAATCGTATTTATTTTAGAAGAGCCGTGTCTAGAATATGATCCATATACTTTAAAATACCTGTTCATTTAAATCTATCAAGTAACATTTAAACAAAATCTTTGAGAATCATTCCTATTCTCAACACAACAACAGTTCAGAAGGGATGATAGAAATAAGAAATAATGAAAGGATAATCAGGAGAAAAGATAAGGATGATTGGTTTATATTTTGAGTTTCTAAATTTTAAAGTCACCTCAGATGATTTTATGGAAACTATGTCAGAGTAAACTACAGGGGGCAGCAAATATTAACCAGGTATCACATGAAAGCCAATACACAGAATTAAAAGGACTCCCCTAGGAGTGCTTTGGTATATTGCACCTTGTAGATTTTGGAAATTATTTATCAGGACTTCTTACTAAATAACTGATTATATTTAGAATAAAATTATGTTAATATGGTTTAAATGTGTCTTTAGGTAATTGAAAAGGGCACCAGTTAGTACTTAGTTTTCAAAGCCCCTTTTGCTCCATAATACCTGAGCACTTTCACTTAATTGTTTGCATATTCTGTTAAAGACTCATAACATTTTTTTTTTGCTTTTTATCAGCTCTTCATCCCCAAAATTTTAAATAATGTACTATGTTTTGCCAGTGTGCACTTTTATATAGTGAAATATATTCCAGACTGTCTCTTATCCTTACAATATACTTTGTCTTCTTTAAATGTTATTTTACACAGAGACTTATTTACCTGACATGGATTATAAACTTCGTATGAGATTTCTGGTTCATCAACAAATGTAAGAATGAAATTCAGACTATTGTGACTGTAACATGAGAATGAATTCAAGCTAATAAATGTAGCAAGAGACAGATTATTTTGATACATTTTGGCCCTATGATGAGTGCACTCACTGATCCTTATATATACCAAAACACAAGATACATTTTTATTGGGGGGGTTTTGTGAAAATTCTTATATTCAGAAAATTTATTCTGCAAAACTCTGTGCTCCAAAATAAAAAAAAAAAAAAATAGTAAGATGTAGTGGTTAAATTTGTTAATATTGTGCTTCTGGACAGCTGCTTCATGGTTACAATTACACTTTCATTTTTACTTTGCTTTTATAGAACAAATTTCTCAAAGGCTGGAGTGCCTGTCTTACACATTTATGTTGTATATGCCATAGTATTATGAATTCTATAAAAAATATTGAACTGGTTCTGTAAATCAATGAGGCTTTGGCTTCTTTTTAATTTAATCTTTTAAACTGTTAAGTGCACCCATCAAATTATATTCCTGTGCCTTCCATTCCCCTCACGGAAGTATTTTTACAAGTATCTACAGGAAGCAATGATAATCACTGCTTATAGACACCCTACAATTCAGAGGGACCTAAAAATATTCTACAACATAGATCTCATCTTGCATTTCTCATTAACACACGCAGACTCATTACAAACACATTTGCAGTTTGAAAATATTGCAAACCACATCTGCATGTAACTCATCAGTTGACTACATAGTTGTCAACTGAAATGGATGTCAATATGCCTATTTCCAGAGTTGTTTAGAGATTTTTAAAAAAATACATCTTGTCAATGTAATGATTCATCATGGAATTCTGATGAGATCATACAACACATACATACACACACACATACATATATATGCTAGCTGTAAAGATATATAACATATACTTACAAAACATAAATGTATATAAAAAAGGAAATACACACACATATGTCGAAGTAGTTAGGATGATCCTAACATGTAACTTTCCCTTGAGCACTACTGGAATTGTCTCTTTAGCACATAACAGTCTAGTAGTAAGTAGGTGGTAGAAAAGTAGAGTGTCAGAGATGATCTGTCCTTGGACAAAGACACTATCAAATTACAATGTGGAAGAATAAGAAAAGATTCTGTTAGACCGAGCGTGTCAAAGCTTCACGACAAGGAATAAATTCCTCCTACTAGGAAGAAAAACTGTCCCACTTTGGAAAAATGAACAGAGCCAAGTGATACTTGAACAGATCTGACAAACGGGAATGTGCTCTGACTGAGGAAGTCCAATTTTTCTGTATTTTTAGAAACTCACAGTTCTCTACTTCACTATTTTTTCTGTTTTCAGGCTTAACTTTTGCCCATAATGCCTTGGGCATATGTCATGAGTCTACAGAACAGAGATGACAAATCAGACACGACCTTTCAGTTCTGAAACTAATTTTATTGGTATTTGCACAGGTGGAAGTAGGGCTGTATCTGAAACATAAAGTCCCTGCAGATATATGGGCACAGTTTCTATTAATGTTATGTCAAGTTTTTTCTCAGAAAACATCACAATAAGTTAAAAATCACAGGACACTTTTTAAAGTGCATCTTTTTAATACAGTATTTTTTCTCTTGTAATAGTTTGATGGTGGAGGGGTTTTTGTTATTGTTTTTTTTTTATTTATTATTTATTTATTTTATTTTTTTTCTAAGTTAGTGTATTGCCAAATAGTGTCTTGAAGAGGGAACTTGCTGGATCAAATCCTCATCATTCTGTAAGGCCTAATAAGTCCTACTATTCATAGGAAACATGTAAAGCAGTCTTCCCAGGTAAATTCTTCTTTTAAAAAGTGAGCGCATCTTTATTTAAGATTATTTTCACACTACACATATAAAAGTTTCCTTAAAAACATTAGTTCACTTTATGGTCTAGAAGTTCGAAGAAGTATTAATGAAAGAAAATATATAGTATATTTTTAAAAATGTTTTCTTAATACTCCTAGAGCTCTAAGACTTTTTTATTGTTCTTGAACCTGAAATTTTTATTATAATACCTTGTTATAAATACAGGAAAGATTTATTTCAGCACATATATCAGTATATGCAACTAGCAGTTGGTAATGTAATAAAGAAATCCCTAGTAGATTAATTTTTCTTACCAAACCAGAAAGTGTTTTAACTTTCATTTAAATTTAAAAATGACGGGCCTTAGTAGATGGGTTTTTTTTGGTTTTGATTTTGTTTTTTTCCCCTGGCAAAGAAGGAAAGTTCCAGCAGCTTGAAACAGACAGCTAACAGTAAATTGTAAATAAAAAGTTTTTTATGACATTGCAAGGTTTGGAGGAGACTGAAACCTAAGAATACACCACTGAAAAGTGTAAGGAAAATTCAGCTATAACTTCCTTTTAGAACCCAAATTTTGTCAGATATGGTGACCTCTCTGGATATGGAAGACCTGAGAAAAGTATCAATAACTTTTCATTTGCTTTACTGCACAAAAAAATCACAGAAAAGAAAGCTTTCTAAACCCAAAGACATTCCAGTTCTTGAAGAACATGTGGTGGTCCACGCTAGTTTTAACACCTCAAATTCTTAGTGCAGTTCTTTTGACTAAATCTGGATTTATGGAGAAACAAACTCTGACTGAGTGCAGAGTCTTGCTACGATTTTAAAGAGCAGAAAGGAAAGACTGACTTACACATAAGAAACATACTGCAGAAGAACTTTATATAATTTTATTTTATGACCAGTCATAACTACAATTTAGAACATTCAAAACTGCTAAATTAAAAAGCTACTGCAGTATACAGGTAACTTATTTAACAAAAAATGTAAACAATATAGCTCCAAATATGTATGACAGGAAGTGATGACTACAAAGTGAACAAAAAGTTTCTACACTGTGTGTTATGATACAAGCTTTCCTTTAAAATATTGCCATGAATTTCCAAATAGCTGTGTAAGAGAAAAACTGAAAACAAAACAAAAAAAAAAATCCCGTGTATCTTAAAACAACTTCAACTTTGGCAAGTGGTTGGATGCAGATGAAGTGATTTTCCCAATGAATAAACTGACATTTAATTCCTGATTATAATTTGCTTTTTGACTTTTGCACTTTCTTTCCATGTATTTGCATTACCATTTAATTTATCATGGTCTACATTTAAACCATTGTAAAATTTGCTTATTTTTAATACTGATACGGTCATAAATTTTATTGCTGTCTCATTTTTGCTGTTCTGTTTTCTTGGTGATCTCTTTAAATGCAGACTTTCTGTTACTCTGTGTTAACAGTGCCTATCTGGTTACCTCCATTTTCTACCAGAGCTGTTTTCAAGGAGCAGAACCTTGTTGCTATCACGTGTTCAGACCATGCAGTTGTAATTTCATCGCTGTTATACTGTTAGGATGAAGCTAACACATGCAAGAATCACATCTCATTTTACTTTGTAGGAATAACTGTCAAAATTATAAAAGATCTGTAAGTCATCTCTCTATTTGCACACCTATTAGCTATAACAGACCTAACAACACAGAAGTTGCAAGATCTTTCCTGTTCATAGGCTATAGAGCTGTCCAAGAAAGTAGATTCTGACCTTGGGTTTCCACATCAACCTGTCTCTTTTTTTCTAATTCAGCTCTGATAATCTGCTGGTGTTACACAGAAATCTGGATGTCCTTAAACTTATTGTTCTGTTCTTTGTCTGTTATTACTATTTATTCTAGCTTGAAATATAATTCTTGATACCAATGATCCAACTAGCAGTTACAGCTGGTTGCCAGAAAAACATTATGATATTTACAACTGTACATGAATATGAAGGCATTTCACTAAATAACACCTAGGATAACAGTGGTCAAATGAGGAAGAAAAAACCAGAAAGGCACATTCGTGAATTGCTTAATCCAAACAAACTAGCATCTCCCATATTCAAATTTGTGATTGGAAGTTGTAGTGGTCAACGTACTTCCTGAAGAGGACTGGAGTCTCTGATTAGGTCTTTTACACAGACCTCCATTCCTTGAACAAACGGAATAAATGTCAACAGTAAGTTGTCATCCTCCAGAATGATCCAAACCAGATCTACACACATATTTATTCCTGTATTTCTCAGAAACTTGTTGGCAGCAGAATAGAAAGACTAAATAATTCTGGTTTCTGTTCAAGGCTGTGAAGGATAGTATGCTTATGATTTTGAGATCCTTTTCCTCCTTTCTGCTAAGACCTGTGACCCAGGAATATGTTTTTTCATTATACTCCAGTCTTTCCCTTTATCCTTATTTTCTTTGATTAACCAGACAGAGCCTGAATATTTCCAACTTCCTGCTCCTAATTCAACTTTATGCTGATATCCACATGGAATTTTTCTATCATAAAGTCATGGTTTGACAATTAGAAGCAAACAAATTCTTTCCCTTGTCTATAATTAAGGACAAAAGCTAGTTACCTATTGAGGTATATAATTTTGTGATGAACCTGTGTCAATTATACCTTTGGAAATAACAGGATTGCACAAAATAAATTCCTTATTCAAGAAGACCTGAACAAAAAATATCCCTGTGTCACTTGTACTAATATCTACAGTGAGCAAACAACGAATAGCAGAGTTTAGACTTTTGTCAGAGCAACTTTTTATTCTGTCAGCTGTCTTATTCTGCCCTCAGTGGCTCTCTGATGCCAGAATGCATCAACTGTTTCTGCAAGCACAAGACATCACCAGAGAAAAGTCATCCAGAAAAAACTGGTCATCATGGCACACCACACCTTTACCCTTTTACACAAGAGTTTTGCAGGATCTGACAAAGAAAAAACTTAAACTTCTCTGATTTACCTAGAATGGACTTTGAATATGTTTATGTACTGTATTTTTAGAGTAATTATTATAAATTGCAAGTAAGCTGTACATCTAGAAAAGTCATTTTACATAGGAAGATCATTTAGCAACTGACAGTGTTGGCAAAGATATAAGGACAGTAGTTCTTTATTAAGTAGATCTTTAGGATATGAAATACTTCTTCCAGCATTTTCATTTATTTGGAGAAAGGTCTGACGTTGAAGGAGTGTTGTCCCATTCTAAGAACACCACTACTGGCAGTAGAAGGTTTACAGATTAAATCCTAATTTAACAGTAAGTAGGTAGTGTAAGCAAATGCCCCTCCCCCCCAGTCACATTAAAAGAACCACCTCTCCTGTACCTACTTGAAAACCGACTGATTACCTATGGATAAACTATTGTTAAAGGTAACAACAAAAGTTGGTAGTTCAGAGAATTCTGAGTTTGTAGTTCTTTAGACTGTGTTGCAGAAGTATTTAGAACTTTCAGAATTTCTTAATGATATTGTCTGATGTTTACTTCAAGCATACGGCCCTTAGGTGAGTTTGCTTCTTATATTTACAAAAAGTGACCATAAAAGGGGCAAAAAGACATACAAAGAAAACATGGTCAAAATATGAATTATTTATTTTTTTCCTCCTAGCATGCATCAGCCTGTAGTGATTAACTAGGAACTTTGACTCACTGTTGTTGAACTACTTTCAGGAAACTCACAGAATGCTTGAAGTTAGAAGGTACCTCCAGAAGTGACCTTGCCCATCTTCCCCACTCGAGCAGGGTCATCTATTGCTCCAGCCAAGTCCTAGATTATAATCTCCCCTAGAAAACCTCTGGGTCAAGGGAGAACTTGCACTCAAATTCCTGGGTGCCCCTAAGTTTCTGAGAACTGAAAAGCAGTTCTGTTTCTGGAAGTTTTGACATAATATGAAAATGTCTGACTTTTCCTGATGCAACTCAGATAGATTCATTATTACACAAACTGCATTACTGTTTCTTTCCATGCTTATCCATTACTTATAGTAGATCTATGCAAACTAACAAGAAAATGCCAGGTGCCATGAAATACCATTGTTTAGACTAGACAGTAGTAAGTAGTACTACTTTGGATATTTACACACAACTTTAACTAAAACAGTAATTTTTGTACAACTAAGATATTGCTCAATAGGAATAACAGCATTAGAAGCATTAATTGGAATTTGATCGCACATTTTGTTATATCATTGCATTGTAAGAGGGAAAATCCAGCAAATGGATGTCTACTGATTCCCTCAGGTAGGCAGGGAAAATGAAACAGTGCAGATGACTCGCTCTGTAGAAACTTCTGATCTGTTTTTCATTTCTGAAGCATTTTGCATGAGTAACTGAATAATCACTGTAAATATCACTGCTAGCTCTCATCCAAGTAGCCTAAAAGGCAGACTAGATCACAAATTACTCTGGAGTAAGGATTTTTTATCACTTAAGAAATTTTATAGCTGTGAGGGCTGAAGGCCTCCCTTTAATTAAGGGTACCTCCCACATCCTTTCTCCACTCACACCACCTCGTCTCTAATATAGTTTGGAACATGAAAACAAAAATAACTTCTGTTCTAGATTCTGAAAACACAGAATATTTTAGGCTGTGCTCTTCAAAGCAGTTTGTTTGAAAACACTGTCATAATCTTTCCACTAATTCCCTCTTAATTTTTTGTTCATAGTTAATGATTTGACCTGTTTTGAAATTATTTGAGGTAACTAAGAGACTTAAGATGAGATAATGACATTCAGATACTCTACCTCACTTCAGTTCAAGTGCTTCTTAGACATCTGGTTAGTCTAGGAAGAGGCCTGTGGTCAGTTCCAAAACTGTCTCATAGCGTAAGAACACCTAGGAAACTTAGAGAACAGACTGATGATATTAAGTACAAAGATACTTGTTATTGCTTACTTATGTGATGTCCTACAATGCCTTCTTCTGTAATCATACAATGTCATGATTCAACAAAAGGACAATGATCTTTATGAATTTCATCACTGCTAAGTCTTAAGCAATTTAACCTTCAAGTTTATATACTGGATGATTATATCATAAAGTATATAAAAGTATACATTAGCATACAATATTATCGCATTTCATATATGTAATATGAGTCAGCATTTGTGATTCATATTTAATACATTTAAATAAAAAACTACACTTTTAAAAAAACCCTTCTCAGTCTAATAAAAAATAGTTTCGATAACTATCTTGGCAGTTGTAAGAAATATATGAATTGACTTGTAAAGTACATAGGGTAATTCACTGTCGTCACAAATCAATTTTTGTAAGGGATTAGTCTAAGAGATCCATTTTTTTCAAATGTTTTAGTGAAGTGTGAAGAAGAGACCTGGAGTGCCTTGATGGTTGAGGATTAGGAGTTTGTAAAGACATTCTAATGAACTGTCTATATTGCAGATAGATTTAACTATGTTAACCATGCTTGGATCTTTGAAACAGACAAAAATTTCACTACTCTTTTTCCTTTGACTATGGTTATTATAAATAGCTTTTATACATATCTGGAAAAACATATTTTCAGAAACATAGTTTTGAACTGGATTGTGTCAAGATGGTGTTTACAAACCTGTTTTGATCTGATATGAACCTCTGGAAAAGAACAACTATTTATCCTGGGCCATTTGCTGCAATTTTTTTTCCAATCAATGAATAGCACACAATGTACCAAGTTATTTTTGCAAGTGAGTATTTCACATTTAAATAGATACCGTACAGTAGCTTAGAATGATAAACTAATGAATGCTTCATGCCTGTGTGTTCTGCCAATAGCAAATAATGAAACCTTTAACCAGGACAACTGACAAAGCTCCAAATTCTTGAGAAGATATTGCAGTATTATTACTATCCCTGAACATTCACTGCAAATGGAGTTTAAAAATAGGATTTGCAAATGCAAACCTGTTCTGTACTTAAAGGTTTTCACTAAAAAAAAAAAAATAACCTTCTTGCTTTCCTTAAAATATACAGGGATTTTTTAGGTACTGAATGTAGTCTCAGTTACATTGACTAGCCAGGCACCATGAATTAATTAGAGCACTCATATCTGCAGTGGGGCTTTGTAAGGAGAGTTGAATCACCCTGCTTCACCATTCCCAGAAGAAAGCAACTTATACAGAGGAAAGGGGAGTGGATCCTGTGTAAATAACAAGGAGTCAGAAATCGCTAAGGTTTTAGCAGTGAGCTCTGGGAATATAATCTCCCAGTATTTCTTTAAATGCCTTCCACTTTGTGACAGTATTTTGGATATCTGTGGAATATATTCAATCTCTATACTCATATACTTTTCATAGGGCCTTTTAAAAGTTTCAGCAAACCAATTCAGCCTTTAGAGGGAAATGTAACTACATTTTTTACGTCCCTCTTCCTGCAAATGCTTATCCAAGTGTATCACTTTAAACAGAAGATTCATCTCATTTAGTGTAGTGTGAATGCTAGGAGTATGCTCAGAATTATGCTGTGCATAGGCACTGGCATGAGCTTTTGTCTATATAACCTATTTGGTACTTATTGTATAGATAATATATCTAATACAAGAATTGCAGAGAGAGGTATGAAAATGTATACTCAGCTACATAATTAAAGTGTATATTTTCACAATCTGTGCACAAAAATAGTATTATAACTTAGGATGTGAGTAAAAAAATTCTCCATTATGCCTTTTTTGAATTCTTTTTACTGTTTTTTCTTCAGTTTTGGATACTAGCATGAACTGGTGTACTAAGAACATAGGCTGCAATGTACAGCTTTTCAAAAGCTCACTGGGGAAGGACATTCTGATTCTCTTAAGAGACAAGGTACTTACTTCTTGTATTTCACTTATTAAAGGACCAAAACAACTTTAAGTCCTTGTGCATTTTTTGTGAATAGAACTACAATTATGATAGTGCTAGGTGAATTTCCATGTCTGTACTGATGGATAAGCTCAAAATGACAGTGTGAAATGAATGCCACCTTTGGGAAGCCCTTTCTCTACATTACTGGAAATTTTCTGTCTTCCAGATCCCTTTGGAGGCAGATTTCTCCAGGTGCTGCTTCTGCATGTTGGGAGAACAGTAAATAATGAAAAGCACAATTCATTAATGTAGAACAACCTGAATCATTAGGTAAAGTGAGCACAGACAAATGCTGGTTTCAAGCCAAATCAAACAGAGGGTAGAAACAAGAAATGTAGGCCATTCTCACATGATAGACAAGTTTGTTTTGGGAAACAGGTCTGAAAAACATTTAGCAGGGTCATGCACAAGCTTACCTGCTTAGTAGCTTACTGAGTCATATGTATCTAGTAAATGCAAACAATCTTTGAATCTTCCTTTTGTCTCAGAATTATTTCATTTTATTCTTATTTAAAAAATAAATTATCATGTATAAATAAATCTCAATTGTTACAGTTTATTATATCCATGGTCTTCATATCACCTAGATTTATGGGAGTAGGAAGAGGAGGCCTATCTCCTGCTGGAGGCATGTCTGTCATTTTTATGCTTAGCAACACCAGAATAAAGAGGCCAAAATACTTCCTAGGCTTTGACAGACAGCATCCTAGTATTACTGAACACAGGACCAACTGCAGTGGTGTTTACATGCCCTGATAACTGACATGGGGTTGATAAGCCAGTAGAACCTCTTACGTTTGAAAACACTGGACTGGTAGAAATATCTACAAACATTTTTCCCTTTCATTTTTTTTTTTTCCTTCATGAATGTTGTTCCAAACACACAAGAACATGCTTGCTGATCTTCCTGTCTTTTGTTTGAGGAATTATCAAGTAAAATAACAGTTTTTTCTGAATGAAAACCATTTAAGTTCTATCTTTATTTTTCCTGTCACTAAAATAACCATTTTATCTCCCTGATTGCTTCTTAATGAAATCATACACAAAATAATTTTCATAAATCTAGAACTTTCCTGTGTCCAGAAACCAACTACAAGCCAACACCCTCTTTGTTTTTAAAAACTGTTATGTGGCACAGAAAATGTCCTGACTGAAAGTCCTTTACCATAGCTCAAGTTTCTCTGGTTCTTTTTTATAAAATTCTTTTTAAAAGGGACTGTGTGTATGTTTGTGTGTGTGTGTGTGTGTGTGTGTAGAATGAAAGACAATTTGTGTGATGGAATGAGACAATGATTTATGTCTTGGTAGCAAACTTTATTGTTTCAGATCATACTGATGGTACTCAGCGTATTGTTGAATGTGCTGAGAGTATAATTACAGAAAGATACCTCCATCACCACTATCATCACTGCATTTTGCCACCTTGGGAGTCAGCATGTAAAGGAAAAAGATTACAGCATTCTTTCAAGCCGCACCTTGTGAATAGTCTCTGCTCATGAGTCCACAAAACCAGCTGCTGCTCACCACAGAGTCTGCAGGGGCAAACTGTTATAAATGCCCTGAGATCTGGCATGTTACTTACAGTAAACTATGATAATCCTAGGATTTCTACCTTCTTTATTATGTGAAAAGAGGGGTCAATCATACCAGTGATATTTGAATTAACATCCTTCTGATCCCAAGACCATTGCTGTTCTAGACGGGACAGTTTATGCCTTCTATTACTGTTTCTGAAGAGGCCCAATAAGACAATATATTTGTGATCTATTTCTTACTCAAAACCAGATAAGACAATGACTTACTCTTTTCATTCCTTTGATATTCCATCTCCTCAAAATCTTGAAGAAAACTATGCTCCAAATATTGCCTATATGTCACCTCCTTCTGAGATTAGTCTCACGCCTTGCAGCACCAAAATGAATGGGACCTAGGCAGGGAGATATGCAGCAACACATAGTCAAAGAAGCATTTACATATTGAATGACATACCAAGAAGAAATACTCAGTGAGATACCCTCTGTTCAGAGCTTCTCCCTGTCTTAGAGCCTCCAGATTCTGAAGGATGTCTTGTAGACCATTGCAGGTACTGGATGCAATAAAGCCATGTGTATCGTTGTATGTTGTTTTGCTACAGTCTCCTTCTCAATGTGTTGAGCAAGAGTGTACTGACCTGTCCCAGATCTCAAAAAAAATGCAGCTTAGGTAATATTATCTCTTTCCCCTTTTCCCCATTATATATATAAGCAAAAGCATACTTCTGGGATGAAAGATGGAAGGATTTGGGAGATAGTAAGGCTGATGACAGAGGTGCTTGGGCGGGATAGAGGAGGTAAATCTGGGAAGGAGATTACATTAATGAGGAAGGTAAGCAGGGTCTTGGAATAGTACAGAGAAACTGGAATTTGAGAAAGGAGAAATTTAAGAAGAAGAAAGCATAGTCACTTGACACAGAGAAAGGAGGCATTAGAAATGTAAAAAGTAGATGATTCTGGAAAGACACCATATGTGGGTTAAGAGAATGAAGAGGCTGACAGATTCACTGAGAGGAAAGAACTGTATTTGAACATTGTTGCAAAACCAAACAAGAGTTCAGGGTACTAAAACAATTGGGGGGAAGTGAGATTTAAGTCAGGAGAAGGAACAGAATCTATTTGTCTTTTTTTTTTTTTTTTTTTTTTTTTTTAATCATAACTTAATCCTGACTATGCAGAACCTACTGGAGACTAAAAAACATGAACCATGTTGCTACCATTACTAGAGTTGAAGTTTATTGCCCCTATTGAGTCCTTTGTGCCTTCTTAGTCAAGGAACCAAATGAGAAAATACCAGCATATTCTTAGGCTGTGGATTTGATTTCCACCAATGTTTGTGCTATATGTCAGCCCTATATTGAAACAAAAAAAAAAAAAAAAAAAGGAGGTCATTGAACTATATATATTTGCATCCTAAAAAGATGTCCGCTGAAGTTCATAATGAATGGGTTGTCACTTTTATAACAGAACTTTGAAAAGTTTTTTTCCCTTGTTGAAAAATAAATCCTCTGATTGGAAAACTGTGACTAATATGTGATTTCCCTCACAGGGCTAGTTTAATGTGGAAAAGTGCTTTTCAACACTGAGAAACAAAGGACTTGGCACCCGAGCTTACTAATAATCTGGATTCAATACAACAGATTTAATCTTTCCATTCCTTTTTCATGAATAACTTCTTTGGCTAAAATATAGATTTTTTTCATGGTCCTAATTTCTGTTTTAATTGAATTGCTGAGAATTAAAATTATTGGAGAATGTTGTGTGGTGAGCAGATTTGTTTGGATAATGTGGTTTCAACACCTCTTGTTCTGCCCAAAATACACAGTCTTCCTTAAATGGATGTGATAGTCCATAGTTTATATGCTACATTCTGTAACGAAGTACATGTTCAGTGGGCTTGCGTTCAGTTATTAACGGATGGGATGGAAGGAAACATAAACTGAAACAATGGAAAGGTAATACAAACAGAGTTGTTATAAGTAAAATATGTCTTCTGTTTCAGTGAAATTCAGTAATTTGTTTACACAGACCATTTGAAGTCATAATATAGAAATGTTCCTTCTTATATCAGAATTTATGGAATTTGCAATATTTTATATTTTAAATTGAAAATAAGGCAAACACAGAACTCATTAAAAGTGCTGGAGTAATAGCACTCTATACTAAAGACTTCAGTTTTTATTCAGACTGATGTGCCAATAAACTTGCAGCTACCTCTCGAGCAACTGCGTTTAGAAATTAGAAAATAATTTGATTTTCCATGAAGTCCTTGACTTGAACATAATTATCAGCTATGACACCAATTTTGCAATGTGGATGCTTACCCACTAAAAGCTGAGCTAAAGCTCTTCCTAGCCATACACTGATAATCAAGACACAGATACTTTTCTGTATTTTTAATTAGGAAACACATAATTCCCTTAAGTTAATGGGAGTTATGTTGGGGGGAAAAAATGGCTTTAATGGAATCTCTGTGAAATTATCAAATTCAACAGAAGAGGTTTAAATTTGGACATCCTGAGCTAGTCTTAAAGCCAAGACAGAGCATGTTGGTGTCCACTTTAGTAAAAAAAAAAACCTTCTTTTGGTACTGTAAATATTTATCAATAGTGTTGTTGAAGATTTTAGGTCCACATCAATAAGGACTTTAAAATACTAACCTTAGATAACTGTAGGGAAAGAGATGCTGAGAAGAATTTCCTTTTATATTTTTATTTTCCCTTTTCCCATTCTATCTTGTAAGGTTTAATAACAGAGCACCTCTGCTAGGAGAGTCCATCTTGCCTCCCAGTGCTTGTCTATGCCTCTTGATTTAATAGGAGGAAAGAGGCAACATGAGAGGAATGGAGAAACACTCCCTCCCTCTGATGACTGAGCATCTTATTCCGTAACATTCCTATATTCAAGAAGCAAAAGGCTGAAGGTTAGAAAATAAACTAAGTAAGGCTTCTTCTTCTCCTCCCTCTACCCCCTGTTCAGCTCCACAGACAGCAGAGTACTGCCATATAAGACACTATGATCTGAAACTCCTTGAGGTTTGACAGGAGGGAACAAATGCTCAGATTCATGAGGCTTCACTTGGACCAGTTGTTGTTAGTTTGTGAGATCCTGTTTTCTACAAAGTGTTTTTGGAAACATTTATGTAAAAGAAGCTATGTAAACTGAACAGCAGTGTCTCCTTAGGAACTAAAAGTCAGTGTTAAAATAAAAGATTAACAAAATCTTCCAGTTCTGTGACTCAGTTACAGCATTAGTATCTTCCTCTTGTTCCCAAGTTTTAAAATACGTGAATTCAGTTATTTGCTGTAAGGACTTACACCAAGGTGTGTTATGCAGACTGTGATCTCTGCTCTATGGGTGCATAATGGTGCCTTTAGACTCCCTAGTGCATGATGAGCAACCATTAAATAATAACTAAATAACGCATGGTATCTCTTTCCATTTGATTGCTGTAAAAGGCGTGAACTAGCAAGCTGTCATTTGGCTACTGATTTTCCATTATTTGATCTCATTTTTCTCTTCTGATATTAGAAAATACTCCTGATATTCTAGTCTTAGCTCTCTGCTGCTATCATTAACATTTAGGGGTACCTTCTTCCCATGAAGGCTACGTTTTGAAACCAGAAGGAAGCAAAGAACAAAAAACCCCATCTACTGTACTGCATTCAAATTGAAAACAAATCTTGACACAGACTTCCTACATCTGTGTGTGTACATACATGATACACATATGCATGATTTTTTAAGAAAAATACCACCACACTGTGTTCTGTATTCTATGTATATTCTTTCTAAACAGTTAGCAGAGTTCTCACATCTGAGATACTCCAAACAATCTAGCAGTAAAAGACAAAGCTGTCTTCTCTATCTACAAATCTTATTTACAGCTTTCCCTACATATGCTGCTGTTTATTTTCAGTTTGTGGCACACACTCTAGGTACTCTGATAAACCTGATCCTGCTTCATCATCTCCAAGTCCCTGCAGATTTTCATGTACTGTGTGATTAATTACCAGGCCTCCTGCTCTTTTCAGTTAAAAAAAAAAAAAAATGTATGAAGAGCTAGTACAACAACTTGTTCCTCGAGAAGCAGAAAAAAAGAAGACCGATTTCCCTTCTATTTATGTGCTGTATCACCTGATTCTACCCCCCTTTTCCCATCAGCTAGCTTGGGTCTGTGGTAGGGCATGTGGTGTGTCTGGCCCAGAGCAATGAACGGGCTGGGATGAGCATGCAGACCAGCCCGGTCTTTTCCTTTGTCTACCAAACTTTTATTTCCACACAAGAAAAATTAGAACAGAGATCAAGACCTGTAGGATACGAGACCTGAATCCTTCTCTGAAATAAACTTAAAATGTGCTGGCATGTACAGAAGTTGTTTAGAATGCCAGGTGGATCACACAAGTATAAAAAGCCTCATCTCTTTAAGACAGGGAAAAAAATAGTGAACATGGCAAAAATTATCTTAAAAAACTACACTTCAAATCACTTTATTCTCCAAACCCCTGACTCTAACTACGTTTCATCACTTAAAAGATTTACATGCATCACAAATATTTACAACATAAAGACAAGTACCAAAAATGTCTGCTGAGGTACAGCACTGAAAAGATGTGTACTCAAACTGTGTTAGCTGAACAAACTTTTGCATATAGACAACATGTGTTTACTTGTCTAGCAGTGTTTTATTTTCTTTAATAATAGGAGCTCAGTGTCTGTGGCTTATAACTGAGAATTTTCAAATCTCTGTACAGCAACTCAGGAATGTTTCTTATAATCATTTTGTAAGCCAATGCCTAACGCATGCAATAATGCAGTTTTGTGGCAAATTATCTGCTAGATTTCAGCGGCCAGCTTGTCTTATGTTCATAAGTTAATCACACCTAACTAGTATATGGCTACTGTAATGTAAGTAACAACAACAACAAAAGGAGAGGCAACTACAGAAACACCTTTCTGGTGTGTGCGTGTGTGTTTCCCCCCCCCCCCCCCCGCCTTCCTGATCTTGCTGTGTAGTAACCCGATGTCCTCTGGTTCCAGTTGTTAATGGAATGTCCTACTGTGCTAAGGAGCTTAGTGGGATGCCATTTACGAGGATGCAAGCAACAATCCAAGGCAGAACAGCCGAGAGGAAAATAATACTACACACTATTAATAGAGTACTGTTTAATAAATTAAATTCATGAGACTTAGATATGAAGGAGTATGGCTGGTGCTTTACTTGAAGAGCTATGGCAGAAATCACTCAGAGTATTGTTGCAGGTAGGTATTCTGATGAAGAGCAGGAAAGTTGACCTGTTTCTCTTCCTTCTTTGCTACATCTTTTGAGTCTTAAACCTGCACTCACATCCTCAGCTTCACATCAAACTTGCACTGCTGGTACCCTGCCTCAGCGAGGACACTGAAACAGTTGCATGAGCAGGAAGAACAGGATTTAAACAGTTAACTTTGAATGACAAGTAAGAGGTGTCCATTTTTATAAAAACTCTGAGGGAATACATGATACTTAATTCCAAGGGACATGAAAGACCCTTCTTCCTTCCCCTTTAAAAAAAAAACCCAACAACCTCCTATCTTCCAAACCTAATTTAATTATGATCCAGGAGATTGTTCAGTGTTTTACAGGAAATATTTCAAAGTTAGTAAAATGTGTGTTTTTCTAATTCAGCTCTGTACTAACCTTAGAGTAATGTACTGCTGAAATCTTGGCAAAAATAGAACACCAGTGTAGAATGCTGTTTGAATTGTTTATGTATTTTGGAAAAAAAAAATTCCACTTTAATGAGTAGTTTGTAATAGATGAATTACGCTTCTTCATGTGCTACCTCCTCTTAACAGGGAAGGAATTTTAAAGGTGTATTACCAAACCACATATATATACTTCTATGTATGTGTATACTATCTTAAGTATAAAATTACTGATAAGAAGTGATGACAGGCACTAGAAAAACAATAAGTATACCGTATTTCAATGCTGCTTCATGAATGTAGGTTAATTCCTTTTTTTTTTTTTTTTTTTTCCTTTGGTATCACTGCAAAACCCAGAACTCTTATAAATAATATTCACGAGATCCGGTTTTAACACTACCATAGAAAGAAACATATTTATTAGTAATGTGTATTGTGATGCTGACTGAACAGAAGGAAGAGCTACACAACCTGCTTATGACTCTAATGGAAAGCTAAATGTAGTCCCAACACTCGCATCCACATTGTGATGCCACATGAAAAATATAAAATGCATGGGTTTATTGCTCAATTCAATGTCACGCAAGGATCACAGCATGAAGAGCACTAAAACAACTAAGTATACTGATAAAAACTGCTGGGACATAACATTGAAACCTGAAATACCCATTTAGTATTGCCCATTTAGTATTTCAAAGCAAATACAGCCCTGCAGTCATTTGAGTCGAGGGGCAAAGGTGATGATTTAATTCTTGCTTTCTTTAACCACATTTATTACGATAAAGATAAAATAGCTTTTTGCCCAGATTTTGATTTTTGCTGTTTTACTTTGAAGCCACAGTTGCTTGTTGAAAAGTTGGTCTTCTATTGAATATTTCTTGTTGACAAGATAAAAAGTAGTCATCTATGCTCATATATTTACCTTTTCATACAAAGTAATTTTTTTACACAGTCATTTGGTATTTTGAAACATACTATTTGGAAAGGACTAGTGCTCCTTTAACTGTAGGATTACTTGAGGGTCCATTTTTCATGGTGTAACTGCATCATCAAAAGAAGACAGCAATTTATTGCACTTGGGGATAACAAAGTTTATCTTCACTTCTGTCAGCCTTCATGTTGGCAGCACTTCCTTCCAAGGCATGATAAAATATAAATATATCATAGAAAATACCCAAATCCCTCTGCTCTGCAGAAAAGTAGCCGTGATCTGCAATGAACTCTGCATGGACCACCACGCTCGATTTCAGAACCAGGGGCAGAACCTGATCCGGTTGCAGCAAGTCAGCACTACGCTCAGGACGAGCAGCACCAGCCCAGCCAGTGCTGCAGCTTCGGCTTCGTACTCGCGCAAGCCACAGCCAGCCCGCGTGGCACTGACACGGACTGACGGGTGTTTAGTGTTTACGCTACCACTACACCTCCGTTCTCCAGGAGGAACTGTGGCACAGAGGGCCAACAGTAAGGTTTTCCAAAGCACTTTTCACCAAAATCCTGTTGTTTCCACCTACATCCTATGCGCCGTTCCTTCTTTGCAGACGATTAGACAGGACGGGGTAAGAAAAGCACGGGCCCTTTTTTAGCCCCATGGCACGCCACCGATTGTGCCAAGCAACATGTGGTGTCACTCGGCACGAAATCTGACCATTTTTCAGGACGAAAATTAGGTACTTGACGTATACAAGCGTGACTGCATAAGTAAATACCGCTTTGTAACAGCCCTCGCAGCACCCCTCCTGGCCTGGCAGATCCGGTGCGTCCCGGTGATTTCACCGGCTGGGGGCAAACCGGGACAAGAAGTTAAGCCTTTCATCGCCGCTGGATTTCGCTTACCCAGGAAAGTCGGCGGGGGGGGGGGGGGGGGGGGGGGGGGGGGGGGAAGGGGCGCAGACAGCGGGCCGCGTTCGTCGCCGCAGGTCGGAGCCCGGAGCCCTACGGCCCGGCCCCCGCCCCACTCGTGTGCCCCCACGCCGCCGCGCTGCCGTGGCCGCGGGCGCCCTCCGCGCGCAGCCGGGCGGCAGGCGCGCCCCCCTCCCCCTCTCATACACCCCCCTTCTCGGACCGGCACGGAGTGACGTCACCCTCCCCCACCCCCCCCGACCCGGCCGCGCGCGCGGGTGTGGGTGTCCCCGCGCGGCGTGTGGATTCCGGCCTCGGTCAGCCCGCGGGCCGGGATAGGCCCTCGCCCCTCCCCCCTTCCCCCCCCTCCCCCCGGCATCGCTCCGCCGCTCGCTCCTCGCCCCCCCGCGCACACTCGGACACAGAGCTCGGCAACCAGCTTCCCCTAACCCTCGGGGCCATACAGACCCTGTGATCCGCACGGCCTAAGAGGATTAATTAAAAAAAAAAAAAAAAAAAAAAAAAAAAGAGAGAGAAATCAAACCCCCCAAAAAGCATAAAACCCAAACAAACAAACCCAAATCCCACAGCAACAGACCCACAGAACGAGAGAGCGTCGTCTCCACAAGCGTACCCACGGCGTCCCCGTTTTCCCCCGGAGGAGCGAGGCGGGGTGGGGGGGAGGGCTGCTCGTGCTTCGGCTCTCGAGGACTGTTTCTGGGGATTTTTGCTGTGTGTCTGCCCTTCCCGCTCCGCCCGCCCCGTGCCCTCTTCCCTCGCTTTTGTTTGTACTACACTTTTTCTGGAAGGGGGGAGCGGGAGAGTGAGGGGGTGCTCGGGTGGGCGACCACGCTGCTATTTGCAGAGAAAGAATCGGCCAAAAGAGACGAAGGAAGAAAAGGAGGGGAGGGAAAAAAAAAAAAAAAAAAAAAAAAAAAGCGAAGGGGGAAGGAAGAAGGAGAGAGAGGGAGGAGGAGGAGGAGGAGGAGGAGGGGAAACGGAGCAGCAGCTCGGGAACAGAGAGCGCGCCCGGGAGCAGCAGCAGCCGCCGCCGCCGCAGCAAGAAGAAAAGAGAAAAGAGCAGAGCAGAGAGGAACAGAGCAGAGCGGAGGAGAGGTGGCGCTGGCAGGAGGAGGCAGGCGAGGACCTGGCTCTTCTGGATGCTGGATATTCGGACTCCCGTTGACTCTCTCCCGCTCCCCGGCGCCGGTCTGTGAGAGGCACGCACAAGCGCCAGGCAGGAGCAGCGGCGGGGGGCTCCGCTCATAGCTGCTGCAGCTGCTGCTGCTGCTGCTGCTGTTCCTGCTGCTGTTCCTGCTGCTGCTGCTGCGGGGCTTGGATTAAATTGGCCGCCCCGGAGACGAGCGGGAGCAGCGGGAGGAGGTGGCGGCGGCGGGAAGCGGCGGCGGCCGGGCAGGCGGCGGCGGCGGCTGCTGCTGCTGCTGGGACCGGGGAAGCCAGAATGACCAGGTAACTGCCCCGCTCCTGACCCATTTCCGCCCCCCCCCCCCCCCCCCACCGCCGCCGCTCCGTCTTTGCCGCCTCTTTCGGCGCGTTTGTGCGTGTGAGTGCGCATAAAAATGCGCGTGTGTGCGTGTGCGCAGCCCGGTACACATGTGCTTCACACACGGGTCTCCCCCCGGTTGCCGCGGGGCTCGCCCCCGGCCGCGGCCAGCCCGCTCCGCTCCGCCGGGTCCCAGCCTGGCGGCCAGGCCTGCGAGGGGAGCGAGAGGAGCTGCGGTGCGGGGACGGGGGATGGGGCAGGGTGCGGGCGAGTGATGGATCGGAGTCGACATTTCCACTGAGTGCCAGTGTACACGGGCGGGGAGGGGGGGGAGCCACACTATTTACGCGTCAGCTGTTTACTTTGGCGAGCGAATTATTAATTGTTTATTCTGACGGGTGGGGAGGAGGGGGAAGGTAGCAGGGGTGAGAGTCGAGGCTCCTACCGCTGGAGAGGGGGTGTGGGGGCGAGCGGCCGCCCGGCACCGGTCCGACGAGGGCTCCCTTCTCCTCCTCCTCCACCTTTTCCTCCTTCTCTTCCTCCTCCTCCTCCTCCTCTCTCTCGGCGGAGCGGGGAGGCACGGAGACGCGAAGCTTTTCACAGGTTAGGCTTTTAATTTCTTTGTTTACTCTCCCGAAGCCACTTGAAAGGAATCACATCGGGCTGGAAACTCGGTTTTCGGAGCGCTTTACAAAGGGGCTCTTGAATTTGTTTAGCAAACTTAGCAGCTCCCTCCGCGCCGTCTGCCCGTGCGAGCAGGCACTCCTTGCTGCTGCAACTGAGCTCTCTCAGGCTGGCAAATAAAACAGTTGTTTTCTTCCACCAAATGTCGAATTTTGCTTGTTTTCTATCCCCTCCCTCCCCGACGCAACTATATTATTTCCTCTTTAAACGACTACTATTCACCCTTGCATGTATGGATCTTTGAATCTCTGATTCTCCTTGTTACTTCTCCATACTGCTGTCATGAGTATTTTACTCTTTTGCCTGGCCTTTGTGCAGTTATTGCTTCGCAGGATGGCAGCTTCTTTGCCATACCTACCGTGTCCATATTGTCGGTTTCAGCATACGTAGAAGGGTCATTTTATTTACATAGAGTAGTTAGGGTTTTACGTGTTCCTTCACTTGTCGCCTGAGACAGTGTTGCATCGGAGATGGGTCTGTAGATGCTGATTTGCTTTGGAGTTTCGCGTTTGTGGACATGAGTGTTTTTGGCGAAGCATGTATTTTTTTTTAAATTTAGGATTAATGTGGGAAGTTACAATTGTCTTCTCAGCCTTTCAGAGATCGCTTCCAACATACCTTTTGTTCAGGCACAAGCAATATCTGTAGTATCGGGACATTTATCAGGAATTTTGATGCAGAGATGGAAAAATGTATGTGCTGTATTATTTCTCTGGTATCTGGTAGCGGTTTATGATGTTATAATGGTCAGTACTTTCTTTTCTTGCTGTAAAAGTGTGTAGTAAATGACATAATTTTCTCCTGGGCTGGGAGCATGCAAAGCTCCTACAGTTCTTTTTACTGAACAGAGCAACTCTGAAGAAAAAAAAGGTTCTCCCCTCTCCTAAATACAATCATATGTACTTGTATCTTTCTTTAGATGGCATTTTTTTGATAGGTTCTTTAAATTCCATCTCATGAGATCTGCTATTACAGCTTCTTCTATGTGTGAAATTGACAAACTGGTCAGTTTAATAAATTCAGCTGTCAAATTTTGCCCAGTCAAAATTGCTAAAAGCTGTAAATGTACTGGCATGGGATTTTCAAGGCACTGAGTGTTACACAGAAAGGAAGAAGGATTTAATGAGAGACTTTTTACAGGAGTAGCTTTCCAATTTTAGTTTTGTCACTTGTGGTAATATGGTAGAGTATATTTAGATTTCTCTCAGTGCAGAAATGATGTATAGCTTTTCTATATCCACTTAAAGCACTGAAAGCTTTGCCTAAGTAGAAGACTTCTACTCTAAGAAGGCACTAAGAAATTCATTATGGTTTGTGTGTGATATGACAAGCTGACAGGAACGGTGTGTGGAAAGGAGAATGGTACCTCGGTATTTCTAGATTTCAGGAATGGGTCTTAGGACCTGCTTTTAGACCCATCAGTCATTACACTTTTAAAATGAGCGCTAAAGAGTAACATGAATTAAGTGTTCTGCTGTGATGGTTATGTAACTCAAACACCAGCACTGTCAGGGAACTCAATGGGTGATAGTAAATCGGTGCTTAATTTTAGGAGAGGGTTTTCAAGAACAGTCTTGGGGGTGTGCAGAAGAACAAAATAACTGGCGGTTTACGCCTAGTCACCTTGCATTTCTTAAGCCTGCCCTCTGCTCCTGTGCGGGCGTGATGTGGGGATGCGAGCTGCAGAGGCTGGGGTGTAGGAATCCCCCCTCTCCTGGTGCTCCGTGCGCCGCGTTGCTGGGGGCCTGGGAGAGCTGCTCCCTCGCAGTCGGCAGCGCTCGCCCTTCTGCCAGTCATTTCTTACACAGGTGACCCACGTCAGAAGCCAAGTCGCCTGTTGCTGACTCCTTCCAAATAAGTGAGACTGTGGTTACTTAGAGGGATGCACACACATTGTGTGTTTGGCGGGGGGATGATTCACCCTGCTTCATCCATTTCCCCCAGTTCTGCATGGTGTCCAGCATGGTTCTTTCCTCCCTGCTCTTGTGACTGCTGTGGCAGCTGGGGATGAATGTCGACCCTGGAGGTGCAAATTTTGGACAAAGTCAGATTTCAGTGTCTCCCCACATTTCGTATTTTCTATAAGCTGAGAAAACCAGATTTGTTGCCAGTGTGTTTCTTCTATTAGATTAGTGATGGTGCTGTTCCATGCAAGTGTAGGGTTAAAAGATAAACTAAACAGGATTACTTAAAGGCAGGAGCAGACATAGATTGGTGTATTTAAACTAGCTTTGTAAGTGTTACGTAAGTTTGAGAGTGTGGCGGCTCCAAGGCTTTTGGCTGGATCATGGTCAGCATTTACGGGACCTGGGCTGAGGATGCACTATACATTTTTGAGTGTCAGTTTCAGAAATTTAAAATCCACGAGCCGTAGCATTCTTGATAGACATTAAGCAATAAGGTCAAGTATACTTACACTATTCCATTGTTGATTTTCAGTTTTTCAAACTGACAAGGCAGACAATTTGTAAAAGAGCACAGCTGAAATATTTGCATATTGGATTTCCTTCAAAATGAACTTCCGTTACTAGGCTCTTTGAAAATTCTCATTTAAAAGGATTTTCAAGCTGAATCACAGTAAGGTCATGTAATCAAAAGGCAGCTTCCCCTTGGTATGTTGATTTTTTAATAAGCTGTCTTTAAAACAACAGCGTTTTATATATAATGTGGTGTTGGGCCAGTTACAGCGAGAGGCTTTTTGTCATATTACCGGCAACAGTTGTACAAATGTTGATGGAGTTTAATTTTCTGAAATGTGCATGTGTACACTTAGGTGAAGTCCTGATGAAATGTAATGAAATCCACTTTAAAGATTTTCTCAAATGATAGACCTCTGTTCAAGGTGTCGGTAAACCAAGGCAGTGTCTCCAAAATGTAGAGGTTAGGCACTTGATTTGCACTTCAGATATCAAGAGGAGTAATGTAGTACAGGTCTATAAATCATTGTATTTCATTTTTGTATAAGATCATGGTGATTTTGACAGAAAGGTATAGATATTTGTTGGTTTAAGTTCGAAGAGTCACGTAATGCCGTCTATTGTAACAGGAGCTTGCTTACGTTTTAGTTATATTTAAAAACAGTTGGCATAACACAGTCAACGTACAATATATTTATGAAAACTCTCAATTTCACATACTCTGTGAGTTGTTTATTTGCTTAATCCTTCTTTTCTTTGGAAAATTCCTTAAATGAAGCTAATTAATGAATGTGTGCTGGCAACTTGGCAGCCTAAAGCCAGAATCCATGTTTAAAAATACTTCTTCATATACTATCAGTGATTTACCAAGTAGGAGCAAAGAGGAAGCATTGCTTTTCTTGGTGATCAACTATGGTGATAGCTGCAGTACAACTGGAGAAATCTGATGATGCAGAAAAAGATTGCATGAGAGTGCTTCGCCTGTAAATTCCTTTCCAACAAGCTTCACTTCACTTGTTGTTTAAGCTGCCGTGCGTTGATAGAACCATATGTCTACTATTGCACAATTTAAACTTGCATTTCATAAGCTCAGATGGCTTTTCATTGGTGATTAATAATATTTATTAAAATGTTGCATGTTATTGTATTCCTATAGGAAGTGGATAGCTAACATGCAGGAAAATAGGTACAAAATAATAAAAATGATTTGTTTTCAAAAAATTAAATTGAATGAATTATGTAAATACTGAAAGCATTGTTTTTTAAAAATATGATTATTATTCAGGTTCTTTCAATTAATTAATAAAAGCAAAAATT